TATGATTCTATTCTATGATTCCATGATTCTGTTTGTTGAAAAGAAGCGCACAGAGAGTAATAGGAGACCAGCTTCATCTGTTAGCAGTCAGCTGGCCTCAGCTGGTTTAAAAGTTCACTGCTCTTCATGTTCATTTCATGGTTTCTTTTAAATTTGAGCTCTCTCAAATACAATTTTAGCTGTTTCTTAACATACCCACTGAATGGTAGAACAAGGACCACTAAGCTGGTGCTTAGTCCCCCCGCTTCTGCTCTTGCTGAGTATCAATTTGACACCACATTTTTTTGGACCGAGAAATGCTTGCAAATTTAGGAAATGGGAGACTGACATTGGAATCCATGGCAAATGGGCAGTGCTGGAAGTGCTGGGGTGTTGAGTCTGTAGATGGATTTTGTCCTTTTGCTCATTCTATGTGTAGCAAATCATGTCTATGTGTTCCTGAGAAGTAGAACTCAGAAATAACTTGCTTGCCTGGTAGTCCTTAAAATTTCTATATCTTGCAGCAAAGAGAAGATTCTATATGAGGAAGACACGCTGAAGTCCATGGAAACGGAGGAAGAGAACAAGGACTCTAGCAGTTCTAGTTCTGAAGAAGAGGAAGAAGCTGAAGAAGATGAAGTTTCAGAATCAGATGCTGAAAAGGAGTCAGGTAAGACTTAGTACAGTCTTGGATTTAATAATTAGCCTAGCAATATTAGCGGATCAGTTTGAGAACTGGGTTTTTTGGGGGGTTTTGTTTTGTTTTTGCTTAGTTGTTAAAGACATTCTGAAAGTCTTACTTCCGTTGTATATGTATAGAACATGGAGAGCTCTGTAGCTAGCATACTAAAAAAGCTGATCTAAATGCTCTCTTACAAGTCAGCATAATTTTTCCAAAAAAAAGCTGTGGATAGTATTTTAATTTCTACTTCCAGCTCACTTGAATTTAAGGTAACATATTGTTCACAAGTTGTTCTTAAAGAGTATGTTTTTTCTCGTTGGCCAATTTCAGGATGAACACTTCAGTTACTGCAAGATGGTAGAAATGCAGTTGAACATGTAGGAAGGTAATAGCCTGTTGTATTTGGATCGGAGAAGTGAAATGAAGGGTTGGAGCTGTTCTGTGTAATTATAGAGATGAGGAACTTTTTAGTGGAAAATAAGAATTAAGTACGTCAAGTCACGTTAGCCTTTACATTATAGCAGATTGCTGGCATCCTACTTCCTTCGTTTCAATCGCATTTTTTTTCCATAAAGATGCTGTTTAAATAGCGTATATGTGCAGCACAAAGTTTAAATAAAGATACTTAATTTTACAGTAAGCCAAGACTTACTTGTACTTCATATTTCTGCAAAGAGAGATGGATCTTGGACTATGATGCGTTTAATGGTTAAACTACTTTTAACATCAGCTTACTTGGCTTGTATCCCAGTATACTAACAAGTAAGTCCTTGCAGAGAAGTGTAGTTTAAAGTTTTGTCCTGCTTCTTGTGCCACCTGTGTTCTAATTGTATCAATTACGATGTTTATCACAGTATGAGAGGTTTTGAGAATCCTGGTCTTTGCAGAGCTGGTAGTTAAAAAAGCTGTTTGGGTATGACAGTAACACGGTGAAATAATCTTTTGGCTTTTAAATGAAGCAAATGTAGTGGAGAAGTCAGTGGTAGAAACAGGCATGCAGTAGAAGTCACATTTATTTGCTCCATAAATCAGAGTTTTACTAGGCAACAGCCCTGTATAGCTATGTGCCAATTCTTGTAAACATGGTAGGAACTTGACCAAACCACCTGTAACGTATGTATAGCTATAAGAAGTGGAGCTATGTGGTGTTTAACTGATTCAGGAACAGCATAAGATCCTTTAGCAAGGAAAGTGCTATAGCACTCGGCATTAAATTCTGTGTAAAGCCAGAGCAGGTCATCTTATTGAGTTAATTCACTGAGCAAAGCACATTACACTAATCTATTTCAAACCTAAAAAATTTGGTTTTTAAAGTTAAAACAAATCAAAGACAAAAAACATTCGAGTAATGATTAAGCATCAATCTACAGGCTATGTTACCTGTGCTCTCCTTTCCTAGAGAGATTATTGGCTCCTTTGAGAAATTTCAATCAGAATTGAAACCTTATCTTGTAAACTTCTCAAATCTCTACTAAAATGAACATGAACTTGTCCAGCTGGATGTAGACATAGTTGTCAGTTGTTGCATATGTGAATGGGGTGCACATTTTCAGCACTCTTTTTAAAACAAGGTTCATGAGATGATAACATCAGCCCACATGTTATAGGACGACTCCAAAAGAAAAGTAGGGATGAAAATGGCTTTTCACAGAAAATTATAAATGTCACAGTATTACTAGTTTCAAACACAATCTTAAGAACAATTATGCTTTATTATCTGCTAGACATTTTAAATGTTTGGATGGATATAGGAGGCATGTTTTTGAAAACATGGAAATTTCCTTATTCCTCTTCCTTTTCTTCTGAGATTGAATATTCACATAACTTTTGTAATTTGGACAGATAGAAGATGACTGTTGTCGTAAGTGTTCAAAGCCCAGATGAAGAAAAAAAAAAAAAAAGCCAAAATATTGTTATGAGTGATCTTTTTTTTAAATCAAAAAAAAATTTAACTCCTTTGGTAACTGAGCGTAAGGGAAGACAAAGTAGAAGCTGGCAGTATAATACAGAATTTTATTTTGAGGTATGTTTTGGAGGGTCTCAGGTTGCGATAAATTTGTGGAATTTGCAGAGACTGCGGGAACAGAAGAAATCTGAAGAGGTGAGCAGTGAAACTGTAGGAGTGCCTCAGAGAGTAGCATGTTTCTTACAATCTGTGAGAAATTTGTGTTCTTCAAACAAAAGAACCTAAGTGCAGTAATGGCATTTTATTAATCTTGAGGGCAATTAACAATTTGGCATTGGGTTGTATATAAACAACAAAGATCAGGATAAAACTCTGTGGTCGCTATCTGTGCTGGTAACTATTACAATAGGTAATTATTGTGAATTAAGGCAGGCCAGGGAAGCTTTCAATGTTTTTTAAAAAAAAAACAACAAAACCCAAAACAACAAAAAAAACGCAAAAACTTAAGAAAAATTAGAGAACTAAATTTTCAGTCTCACCGAATTTGTTTTGGGGAGATTGAGCTAATCCTGACCTATTTCCCTTGATTGGAATTCATAATGTTTATTGCTGAGATTTTAGTAAACCAAAATGTGGGATCCTCCCCTAAAGACAACGATGCCTATGGTCATGCAGTCTCTCACGCTGCCAGTACAAGGTACTTTTGCCTGTCCTTCTTCTGCAATTGACTCCTTTCGGTCACATTGCTCACAGTTAGAGTTCTTTCCAACCTGTCATTACCACTTAAGCTTGTGCCCTTGTAATTAGGCTTGACCTTAAAAGTTGACCTCTGCGCTATAAACTTCCAGAATGGGCTACCAGTCACCATCTAGCCCAGCCTGTAAAGCCTGCTGGCTGTCAGGTCAGGGCTGTTCTCCCCTTCCTGCAACGTCGAGGATTCTCCTGTGTTTTACAGACTTCACTCTCAAGAAATCAGCAGATGGCCAGCATGTAATTTTTTGTCTGTATGCATTTCCATGGACTGCTGAATGCCAAGTCAGGCCTGCAAGGAGAAAGGGGTAATCTACTAGCCCTTCCTAAAAGGGCTGTTTGAAAGTGCAGTGCGTCTGCGTGTTAGGCTCAAGAAATTAAATACTCTGTTTAGATGACTTTGGAAGTTCTGAGATAACACAGAGGGAAGGGTGGCTGAGACTTCAATATCATGCAGACCTTCCTAGGGGATATGCATCTTTGTCTCTTTAAATTCTGGATCTGTCAGTCCTGCTAACTGCCTGTTATTTTTAAATGTTTCTCTTGGCTTGCTCTTTTCTGTTTTCTGTGTCCTTTGAATCCTATATTCTAGGAGTGAGAACATTTGTTTCAGAAAGATTGATCTTTGCGCTCCAAGGTGCCATCCTCACAGATGCTCCATACCAAACTGCTTTCTATATGTAATACAAGATCTTTATTCACTGCACATACCTCATTTGCTAGTACTGTTTGGGTGGTTACACTTAAAATTACTTTCTGTTTTCAAAACCATGAATATGTGAGGCACTCATAGCTGCGAGAGGAAAACATTGTTTTGTTGGTGTAGGTACATCATTTCTCAGGCACCTTGCATGTGGCTGTGTTTGGTAAACAGTCTGTCTTAGAGCCCTGTGCACTCCTGTCAATTGAACCTATTGCCTGAGACAGTTTCTGCTTACTCTCCCCCGGTGATGTCTGGTGGATGTTCTTATGTCAAGCATGGTGCATAGATACCAAAAAAATTTTAATGCTGGATGATTGCAGTTATCTAACAAACAGGGAGCCAGCTGTGAGCTTTGATAGTGTTTGCTTAGCTTGCTTTGAGCCCTGTTAAAGATTTTTGTTGGCAATCAGTCCTAGCTTCGTGTAGCTAGGATTTTGCTGTAGAAGACCAGAAATTCTGCCCATCAGCATAAGCAACTGTAGCAGAACCGTGCAATGAAATCCACCACCAGGCCCACTTGGGGAGGTGTGCTGTAATGGATACTCACGTACTGCAATAGGAATGGCATGCTCTGCTTTTCTTCCCGAGTGTTACAAGGGAAGAACAATCCCTGAGAGGAAACAAAATCGTGAATAAACAAAAAATCTGTTTGTCCTCCTTAAGGTGCTTTCTGCAAAGATTTTGCTTGTCTGTGGGGATGAAATTCAGAAGCTTTGCAAGGCAAATGTATCCATCGTATTTTTTAGTAGGTAGAAAGCCTCTTTGTAGAAAGCCCTGGTTAGCCTTGGCACTGACATCATCTTTATGATCTAAGGCGTATACTAAGGTCACAGCACCTCTGAACTTGAGTTTAGTGCACACTGTGCTTGTAAAGAAGGGCCTTGGAAGTGCAATACTGAAACATTTGGTTTCTCTTCTTGTTTAAAATTGTAGAAAGGAAGGAAGAGCCCTTTGCCAACCACTCCAGCCATGAAACCAGGCCTAGCATCACTGAGCAAATACCACCACCCGAGCCCAACTCCTTCACTGCATCTGCCAGAAGAGTAAGTGAATTTGGAATCAATGGGGACTCCAACAGAGCTTGAAAGCAGTAGGTTTTTCTGGGAAATGGACGCTCTGAAACTGATTTTCAGAGGAGTTGTAAGACATGAATTTAGGAAAGCATGATAGTATGCAATTTTGATAAAGATGCTATGTTAACAACAGTATAGGACTGGCACAAAGGAGGACGTTTGTACAAGAAGGTTCCTCTTGAATCTCTTACCCTCTGAAGCAAATTGCGCTGTTCACAAGAGAAACCCTGCTTACTGCAAGTTCTTTGTGTTGCTGTCAGTTCTGAGATAGTTGATGCCGATCTCTTACCAGCAGGAGATCCTTCACCAAAGCTGGTTCCTTGGCATCATCATCTAAAGTGCCTCTGACTTGCCAAACTCAGTTGATTCAGTGGCGTGGTGTTACAGCCCAGTTAGCAGAGAGGATAAAGTTTGCATCTGACTAGATAGCTAGGCTATGAAGGCTTTTTAAAGATGAAGTAGAGTTACTGAAATCTTATCTGAATTCTCCAGCTCTCACGTCACTCAGCTAGATGGCACCAGGAGACTCTGTGTTCTGCTGAGGACTGGTATCTTATGCTTCTTGTTTCTTTTTGCACCAGAATATGGAGGACAGCTATACAATGCAGGCACCTTGCCAAAGTCTGAAGCACTAGGTATATGTTACAGGGAAAATGTTTCTTGCTTAGTCACAATTTTTTGGTTTTGACATGCTGCAAAGTCTAACTTCTCGTCCAGATCAAATGAAATAGAGCTCCTCTGGGCGTTGTTCAACTCAGGCTGACTTAGCGGGGGAAGTATTAAAGGTAGAAGGATACTGGGAAGCGTGAGCACTTCAGTTAACCTTTTCCCAGCTGCAGAAGTATTGTTCTCACTCATTTGAGCTGTTTAACCCAGAATAAGGCTGTTAGGATATAGAAGAAGGCCTGTGTGCAAAGCAGTTATTAATTTGACTTCAATCATTTAAGATCGGCTACTTTACCTTCTCTTACATGTTTGATGCTTCTGTAACTCTCTTTGTCGGGTTGGGTTTTATATGGGAAAATATGAGTGCTTGTGTTGCCCTCCATCTGTGGAATTGTTAATATTTGCTATTCCTATGTTGTTCAGAAATTACAGAAGACAGCTTTTACTGTGGATTTGAGCTTTCACTGAGGAAAGTGTTAAAACTACATTAAAGCGTTAGAGCTGTGTAGCTCAGTAGACTGGAAGTGCTAGTGGAATACAGGAGATTAACTCTGTGCATCTGCATTAAAATAACATTAGCTAAGAAACACTGCTAAAATGCTGCAGTGATAATTTTATCTTTGCAGTCTTGAGTCAATGAGTTTGAGGGCAGAGCTTCCCAGTAGCTTCATTTTTTCTGGATAATGTCAGATGTTTTGTGTTATGTAGAATATGGTATAATAATGCTTATATCAGCTTTGACCGAAAGCCTCGTCTAGCCCAGTGTCCTGCCCTTGACAGTGACCATCAAAAGATACTAGAGAAGACAGAATCTAGCTGGACTTCTCTCCCACCTTCTAGCAATTTGTATTTCAGGGACTTGCTGAACCTGTGGTGGTTTTTGTATTCAGTACTCCCTGTTAGTCTTTTCCTCTATGAATTTATGCAGTCACTTTTTGAGTGCCCATAACATTTGCTATCCTGTAATGTCCAGTGGCAAAAGGTTCTTCAGCTTAATTACATATTATACAGAGCTTCCTGCACCTGTTTCTTTGAGTCTGCCACATGCTGGTTTTGTTTGCTCCCCCTAGTTCCTTTGTGGGAAGGAACAAGGAATAATTGATCGTTATTCACCCTTCTATGTGCCACTGAGGATTTTGTGTAGCTTGGTCATATCTCAGCCTGGAGACTCCTGATACACTGAATAACTCCTCATACAAAAGCTCTCTTGCTCTACTCATTCTTGTTGCCTGTCTCTGAATCTCTTCACCTTCTTCTATACTGCTTCTGAGCTGTGGAGCCGAGCTGTGAGTGTTATCAAAGGTGTGATTGTACCCTGCAGTAACACAGATGCATAATGGTGTTGTGTTTCATATTCTATTTTTTTTCCAATAATTCTTAATGTTTTGTTTGCTTTATTTCCGATACAACTCAGTGTTGAGCCTCTGTCTTTGCAGAAGTACCTACCTTCTTGAATGGCCAGAGGCATCTTTTTGTAAGACTCGATGACTATAACTAAAGTTGTACATTTAAGCACTGGTATATTTGAGGAATAATATATGCTTGTCAGAAGTGCCTCATAACAAAAAGCACGAAGGTCCATTCTGTAGTATGCATAGAATATGCGGTTACCTGACCATAGAAAGGTTTAAACTAGAACGGGCCACTGGGAGCCTGTAGTCCAACCTCTTGCTCGAAGCAGGGCCAACTTCAAGCCTATGTCATGTTGCTTTGAACTACCTGAGCTCAGCTGAGTATGGAAAAGTCTCTGAGGATAGAGATGTCCCACTCTCTTGCTCCTTGTCCCAGTGCAGCATCGCTCCTACCAGGAGGTATGTCTTCCTTCATGGCAATTGGGATTTCCCGTGTAAGAACTTGTGTCTATTCCTCCTTCTCCTTTCACTGTAGACTGTTGAGAAGAAGTCTGGTTCTATATCCTCTGTAAACCCCACCCCCCAAGCAGTAGAGCAATTAAATCCTTTCTTTGCCTTTTCTTTTCCATGCTAAACAAGCCAGGTTTCCTTAGTCTCTCCCTTTACGTGTTGTGTGCTCCAGCTCCCTGATGATCTTAATGGCTTCTCCTGGACTCTCTCCAGTTTGATCTGTGTAAGGGTTTTATTTGCAGCTAGTCCCAAAAGAGTCGATTACTTTTTTTGGTTTTCTGCCTTTATTGAATAATTGCCCCTTCCTAAATGGGTGCTAATAAAAGCTTCATTGTTCCTTACATTCTTTCTGCAAAGCTGGAAGAGGGCATTGTGTAGGCAAAGGGAGCTGCACAATGACACGAGATTGCTTTCATCATCTGTCCTTAGGGATGAGGGCACTACAGCAGTTTGCATCCCTGTGAGTTCACCTTGAGCTATGTTCTGTAATTAAAGCTAAGCAGGAAACCAAAGTCACTCCATCTTACGTTTACAAGTGTAGCCCAGCAAACATTGGGGCTTGTTGAAACACTTTCAGACCTTAGATTGTGCCTTGCAGTGCTCTCACTTCTTCCAAATGTCCCTTTTTCTCCTCTACAGTTCAGTTGGCTCAGCAAGTCAGACGAGCAGAAGGATGAGTCGCCTTCATCGTGGCGGCTGGGACTGCGGAAGACTGGCAGTCACAATATGTTGAGTGAAGTCGCTGCTACTCGCGAGGCGCAGAGAGATAAGACTTCTTCTATCTACCGTTCTTCGTCAAGTCCTCGGATATCTGCATTATTAGACAACAAAGAAAAGGTTTGGCTTTCAGCAAAGATGTTTTAGTGCATCCCAACTGAGCAGACTTTACCTCACAGGTTTAAGACCCTTTCCCTTTTGTTTTGAGTTATTGCTGGGTTTTGCGTCCATAACAAGCCTAGGTCTCTTCCATTCTTTCTTTTTTTGTCTTTTGAAAATCATTCCTATCCTATCAGTTGTTCTTGCAGAACTGGAGTTTGGTGCCCCTTTGACCTAATTCCTGCTTGGTTTGCAGTGGGCTGCCAGTGAACAAGGGCTGCCAGTCTGGCATGGCCCGTTCTTTACCAGAAAATATCTAATCCAGACAGTAGCACATACCTGCAGTGCAAATTCTCCTTTACTGTCGTCTATATGGATTCCTACTATATCCACCAGCTGAATTTGTGAATCCCATCCCACGTATTCACTAGCTGTAACTTTGCTGCCCATGGGTAGATGCCCCATCCCTGGAAACATTCAAGGTCAGGTTGAATGAGGCTCTGAGCAACCTGATCTAGTTGAAGATGTCCCTGCTTGTTGCAGGGGGGTTGGACTAGATGACCTTTAAAGGTCCCTTCCAACCCAAACTATTCTATGATTTTATGATTTCTCTGATTTATAAGTAGTTCTAGTTAGAAGCCGCTTTTATTCACTAGCGTGCTCTTCAGGAAATCGTTTTCAGAACTGATAACTTTTATGCTGTGGCATGTGTTGCCCAAGAAAATGCCTTAAACCAGTTATCCTTAGACAGGAGAATGCTTTCTTAGTTGAAGAAATTTGGATATGAATTCAGTTGTCACTGAACGCGCTGAAAGCGTAACAGATGTGCAATCGAAGTACTTCTTTTGCTTCACCAGGATAAAGACAACAAGAGCTATCTTGCCACAATAGCCCCCAGAAGACTAAGCAGTACGAGCGATATAGAAGAAAAAGAAAACAGGTGAGACTGACTGAACTTAATGGTAGCTTCTGTCCTGTCGATAGTTCCTCCGGAATACCTTTTTTCTATATTCATGCTTCATCTATTTTCTCAGCAGTCCCAAGTACACAGGAATTCACAATATTGAGAGCTATCTCTGATCTATGAAAGTTCTGGTATGTTGCTTTTCATTTAGGTGAGCAGGGCAATGGCTGGTTTCTCCACCTCTGTATTCATACATATGTGGTCTCCATCCAGGAAACTAGATTTATGTGTACTTTTTCCTTTTATATGCAAGTGCCTTATTTTGTAGCTGGCACCTACACGTGTTCTTCTGTGACCTTCAGTCCCTTTGTTCACACATCTGTCCATTACTTTTATGGACAATCTAAATTTTTGGATTCACTTTAGTTTGTGAACTCTCTTGTGTATGGAACTGTTTCCATCGCAGGGGTTGTTTTTACAGTGAATGTGTGTAGTTGCCCCTGGACAGAACCACAGTATAAATGGCATAAATATCTAGTATCTCAAGATATATTTGAGGAGCTAATCGCTACCAACAGGTTCTTCACAGTTTGTGCTAGAAGGAGTAAAATTTGAGCTTAGCCTCATTTCCAGCCACTTCCACAATCGTGGTAGAAAGGCACATATAGAGAAGTCACTGTGAACTAATTGTTGTGAAGAAGTCAGATGACCAACCTGAGAGAATTTCAGCGCAGTTTGAGATTCTTTGCTGATCTTTTGCTGGAACCTCCCTACTGTGTTCTTGCTTAATCTCAGCCAGTCACTGTGATCTGGAGTTTAGCAGACAATTTGTGTCTGCTGATAAGCTTGAGCGGGTTTTGGCAGTGGCTCGCATTGAGTGGCATATCCAGCTGACTGCTGATAAGCGTCCTTTGCTTGGTAAAGTAGGGAATGAGGAGAATTGGCCTGCATGAACAGATGGTGCCCAGATGTACAGTGTAGAACAGATTTTTCCCAATATTCTTTCCTTTCAAAACAGCTGAGTTTCACTTCACAGAACCCACAGGTGTCTGAAGGGGCATCAGCATGGACACGGCAATTGAAAAATGAAAAATAATTGCAGGCTGACGAGTGAATGGATTTGTGTTGCATTACAAGCTCGAGGTCCTGTCCGAGACCAGAAAAGAATAGGACATACTGCCAAAGTGTGTATTAGGAAAAGGAGCCCTGATTTCAGATAACTGTGATAAATAGGACTACTGGTAATTTATTGATAACTTGTCAAGTAGATTTAGATATTGCTAAATATTTTGTTTGTTGTTTTCTGCTGCTAAGTATAGCAAAGGATTTGCCATACTGAATTGCTTTACTGTCATTGCCTGGATACCTCAGAGAATAAAAACCTCACTTGCAGTTGTAATATCTGTCCATTTATGCAGTGTTGTTTGATACAACAGAGAGAATATCAGATGACATTATTTAATATGTTAAGTTACTTTTATGGACAATGTAAATTTCAATTGCAAGTTTTTTGACTAAAAAGGATCTTGTTCCTCTTTATGCAAAACATTATATTATCTGGTGATTCTTAAGTAATACAGCTGGCAATAACAGAAACTGATGTTAAGGCCAGAAGAGGTGTTTCAGTGAGTTGTGTCACCTGTGAACAACGGTGCACATAGGTGTAAGGGAAGGATTTGTGTTGTGGAACTGTAAAGGAGCCAAAAGCAGACTCCAAAAGTTTTTCTAAACAAACCTCGTGCTCTCTCCTGCATTAGAGAATCAGCTGTTAACCTAGTGCGGAGCGGCTCTTACACCCGGCAGCCATGGAGGGATGAATCAAAGGGAAACGAAGCTCCCCATTCTGGTGCACCTACTACCTACGTATCTACCTACTTGAAAAGGTATGTCCAATTCTGTCTTACATGGGTTCCCAGGCAGTCAGTTCGATTCTTAACATGCCTCCCAAACTTCAACTTTCTGCTTGCTGCTTACTGCATCTGCATCAGTGTAACTGGCCTTGGGACACTCTTCTGCTGAGAGCAGGAAATAAAAATTAAGATTTGATGACATTTGTTACGCTAAATAGTATTTTTAAAGGCCATCATTTTTGTTGATTTGTAAATTGCTGAACTGAATTTAAATACTCTTGTTCACATAATTCAAATGCAAACTGTTTTCTCAGTTTTATGCTAGTGTTACAGTCAGATAATAAAACAAAAATTGATCATAAAAAGAGAATAAAGTAATTACAGTTTGAAAGCATTGTTCAAATAGCTATTGACAGGTAAGTTGTAGCTCATTTCTAATTTTGGTTTATATTAGTCCATGTTTATGGCATCATTATCAGAAAAGTGGCAGTGTTCTTGTGCATGACTTACAGCACTTGCTAAGGAGAGAGACTGCTGTCTCCAACCATTTTCTTGTGGCAGTAAGGAAGCAGTTTCTGCACAGTGTATGTGAAATTGTAGAGGCTGATTTTTGGTAAAATGGCCAAGCAGAATCAGGAAAGCAATCCTGTGCATAACTACTTTAACTGGTAGTACCTTTTACCCTTTTGGAAGGCAGAGGCTCAGTTTCTTTGAAGTACCAGATAATGGCTGTCTCTGAATGAGGTGAATGAATGCTCTGCTCTGTTAAGGCAAATAATACATTACTGAGTTTTCATCTCAGTTGCGAGAAGGAGGATCAGGCCTTTATGCAAAGTACAGTTCCATCACCTCACCTTTATTTTAGCTAATACTGGAAACCATCAAAACAGCATGTATAAACATGTCACGCTGCAAAGCCGTTTGATCTGTGCTTAAGGAAAAAAGCAGAAATATTTCAAGGTTTTAGATTGTGTTTCACCAAATTCTAGACCCTGAACTAAATAACTATCCTGAAGATGGAACAGTTGCTTGAGATATTTGGGAAGAGGCAGATTTTTTGTGTTTTAGTACTTAAGCTGGTAGAGGTAAGTTGTGCTCGAGGATATGTCTGTCCAATTGCTGAGCACATACAGACCCATTTCCACAAAAGGTGAAACAGATAGCCACTTCAAGCAGTAGACTTCTCCTGATCTGCTGATCCATTCCAGTGACTTCACATCTATCCTGGGACATGATGACAGGCCAACTTCCATAGCTTGTCTCTTTCTAAAGGCAGTCCGACAAGCCGCAGCTGATTACATTGGAAAACTTTTGCCTCTTGCTGGCGTGCCTTACTGTTCCCTAATCTGGGTGAGAGACAGTCCAGTCACTAACGTCACTAACATGGCTGTCCGTTAAAATTTTACAAACATTGACTGTTTATCTCAGCTAATCCTGAACCAGATTTAGTATTACATTCACATAGTTGTACTGTATTTCCTTGGTTAAACTGTACAGAGACTAGCGAAGGTTTTGGCTGGCGGTGGTATTTCCCTAATTCTGATCTCTTGTCACAAAGGCTGAATTTTGGCCTTTCATAGCAGAGTGCTGGTTTACAAGCAATTACGGAGAATAGCTAGCTTTGCCAGGTAGGAATAAAGTGTACTTTTTTTAAAGAGATCAATGGTTTTGCACTGTATATACAAACAGTAAAATCATGATCAATTTGACCTCTATTCCATATGATTTTCTATAGAAGAGCACAGAGAAATTAAATATAATTGTATTGAACCTCTGATTTCTCCAGCCTTGTGCATCAGCCTCCAAGATGAGGAAGGGAACCTGGTTGCCTGTTAAAGGATGAGCTCTTTGTCATTTCCAAGTATTAGCAGAACTCTGAAGGCAACTCCAAAAGATAAAAGCTCGTTCTGAGAGAGGAAGAATTGAAGTGAACGTGACATACTTGGATGTTACTGAGAGGAGGGCTTCTGTACATCTGCATTTACCCTTTCCCTTAGCATTTAACTAATCTCAATTAAGATACCTAGTTATGTTCTGTAAGTGCTTTATATGACCCCCAAACAAAGAGTAAGCAAGAGCAACAGATCATCTTAAGATGTTGAAAATGGCTTTTCTTCTAAAAGGGGACAAAATAACTTGCAGCAATGTTGCAAATGTTCTTCAGCTTTAGTTGAAGCAAATATTAAAGCGCTCTCTGTAATGGTAGTGAGTGTCATTCATTCTTCTTTCTCTATGGGTGTACCACTAGCCCAAAAAAGCACAGAAGCCTGTTCTGACAGCCTGTTCTCCATTTTGGTCTGTATTGGCCTTCAAACAGCCAGTTCACATCACCTGTATGTTAAAAGATTTGGAGGAAAATTGGCATAGCAGATCGAATTAATTCAGCGTACTTCCTTTGACATCAGCCATAAGAGATGCCTCACAGGAAGGGATCACACACACCAAAATGAAATCACATTTTCACACAGTTAGTTTCTCCTTCATTTTACATATTTGCAGATACACCTTCTTACTGGTTTTGTTCACATAAAAACCATCACAGCGAGTCAGGCCAACAGTCCGTGCAGTCCAGACTCTGTTTCTGACAGCAACTGGTTTTAAGGGACAAGTTGCAAAAGCTAGGATAACTTAAGAGCAGTCTTCCACCTCCCACACTCTCCTTGCTTCCAGCAATCGTGATTTTAGGAGCTAGGGGTTATACTTAACTGTTGTTCTTAATAGCCACCACTGTGGCCAAAAGCAAATCCTATTTTGATCTCTGTAATACCCTATGGCAGCGTGTTAAAAAAAAAATAGTTGTGTTTTGTGCAAACCTTTTTTATTAGCATATGGGGAAGCTTTTTAAGGCTTGAACGCTTTTAAGATTTTGAATTCTACTTGCCTTAGCTGTTTTCGGAAGTATTTCTTCTTATTGATTTGAAATGTTGCTTTCCATTTCATTGCTCATTCCCTGATGGTTATGTTATGGTGATTATGTTAGAGAACGAGTAGCAGTGTGTCAGTGCCTTTTTTATTTCTAATGTCAAATTCTTTAGCATAAATTCGTAATCTTCCTTTTTGCAGATTCATATGAACACAGCTGTTAATTAACAAGATTCCCGGGCTAACCTTTTTCTTGCAATTTTCTGGTCCTGTTCACATCAAATGTGAACAATTGAATAAATGCCTTAGAGTCCTCCTCAAACTGTGCGATGGCACCCATGCAAGCTGACGGGGTGGGGAGGTGAATTCTGTAGAGCTGGCAATGCCTTGGCTCCCTTCTTGTGAGCAGGAGTGTGTGCGTGATGCCCCAGCACCACATTTCTCCGACCCGGGGCATTTGCGTGCAGGAGTTATCACAATGTTATCACAACACCATCACCATGCTCTTTTCCTCCATTCCTCCTCCTCCTTCCCCTCTCAGCTCCCCCACATCTCTGCTCTACCAGGCACCTGGTGGTGCTTCCACCCTCTTGTCTCCCCTTTTCACCCATTACCTCTCCTTTCTGAAAGACAGTCCTTATCAGGTCTTACTTAATAACTCTCCCATGTCCTCCCTTCCTGACCAAATTCCTTCTCTTTTTTGCAGCCACCCCTCGTGCCCCAGCGTCTCTGCATTGGGGTCTCCTAGGATGGTGCCACATCAACCCTGCTCCCCCCAGGGTTGCCACCACCTTTTCCCCTGCTGCTCCTCTTGTTCCTTTTCCTGGCACACGCTCCACTACCATCGTCTTCTCAGTACACTCATTTCTGCAACTTCATGGCTGCTTGCTCTGCACGCCCACACCAGCCAGGCTTAGCTCCCTGCTCTCGCTCTCCTCCCAGCCCATCTCCAGGGCTTGGCCTTTTCCTCTGGTGCAGAGAGCCAAGAAGGGAGGCACTTGCTTCCAAGAGGACTTCCTGCTCCCCAGTGCTCCGGGCAGGCGCTGGCTTTCCCGGGGAAGCTTTGTTTAGGGTCCGGTGGAGGTTGCTACCTGGTGACAATAACTTACTTGTTCCTTTGTGACCTGGATATGGCAAACAGCCATCAACTTAAGAGCCCAAATGTAAGGTTCCTCCCTGTGGAGGCCCTCCAGGGTGCCCCAGTCTCTCCTTCAGCTGCTTGTTCTGGGCTGGCTGGGGGCCTTGGCATATAAAACCGATTTGTAAACTGGCTGCCTGAGTGGATTGGACTGGATCCTTCCTCCAACCTCCTGTCCTTGGCTGTTGTCTTGCCCCTTTCAAGTTTTATTTTGGCCTCTGGCTGCTCTCTCTGACTCTTGCTCTAGTGTTGACTTCCAGTTCCAGTCTGTTGTCCCTGGCTTTCCCATAAACCTGCAGCTCTTTGTCCCGGTCTGCTTTTCCTCTAGGTCAGCTTTTATTCCTCGTGCAACCACTTTCTTCCATACTCCATGTGCGCTGGCATGGGAGTCATTAGGATGCAGGAGGTGAGAGGCAGCCTTCCAGCCTTCCTAGCCTTTGATCCTGCAGACAGTCTGACCAGTAGCAACTAGGAATACCAGTTGCTGGGAAAGGCGTGGCAGTGTCCTAGGTCATGCATGCATGCTCATTTGCTCTGTGCAGGCGACGAGCAGCCTGTATATGGGTTTCTGGCACATGCAATGAGGAGATTTTGCCAGATTTCGTCAAGTCTGTTTTTAGAGGTATGCAACTTATCCCACTTAGGGTGGATTTTCTCTGAAAAAGCGAAAGGGTACATCCTCGTACCCTCCTTCTCTCCTGTCTCTTCTCCAAAGTAGGAGCACTTAAACACTAACAGCTTTTCAGTAATAATGGTTTTAAGGGTTTTATTTTAAACTGGCAAAATATATATTTCCCCTGCACATTCTTGAATATTTTTTTGGACAGTTTTGCTAGCTATTTTCCAGAAATATAGAGTTTGTGCCAAACATGCCTTAAAGAAAATGAAAGCCTGAACTGATCATCTTTGCAAAGCTTTAAGCCACTGAAAACAAGTTGTGAAAACTGGAAGTCCTGGGCATCCTTAGGAGGTGATGCAGCCAGACCTGCTTATGTCACTCTCTCCTTCCCTGCTTTAAGCAACCTCATCCTTGCTCATTGTTTCTACCTTTCCCCAATACATAGGGGTGCTCTGTGTGCGCAGCTTTCACTGCGGTAGGGTTTTTCCCTTCCCTGATCTTCACCGATTACCTCCATGCTGTTACTCTCTCACTGAAACTCAGCTGGGCTTAGCTAAGAGGGGTGCTGCTAGTGCTAGCCTGCGTGAGCGACCCTGCAGCGACTCCGGTGTACTCTAATCTCCTTGCAAATGATTTGTAATACTTGCTCCCTTTCCAGCTGAGAGCCCAGCTGTGGTGATGTTCTGTTGAATATTTACTGTGCTCTGAAGGACGTGATTTTGTGATGTTTTACAGTGCTTCATTTGGTAGAAGTAGTGACCTCAGCAGTCCCTACATTTCAGCCAGTCGCAATACATCTCTAGCTACCTCACCCACTACCATTGGTTCATCTACCTCATTGGGCACCCCGTGGCAACCTGTCTCTTCCTGTCCCACATCTCTCGGTGCGAACACTACTGCATCAGCCCGCCAATATACCAGGTAATGGCTCACAGCTGAGATAACGCTGCAGAAAACCAGCATTTGGGTTGGAAGTTCTGAATTCTGGAGTGGATTATGGATTGGAAATGTGCTTCCACGTGGGAAGCGCTGATAAGAAATCCCAGAATGGTTACGTTGGACAGTTTCAGTAGTGCATATGCACCAGCAGGCAGTTAACAGCCCGTATGTGACCTTAGCTTCTTCGCTCACTGGAGTGGTCAATTGTGCCCTCTTGCTACCCTGTTAGAGACACTATGTGTTGCTCAGGCTGCTCTTGGGCGTTCAGTGTACAAGCTCTTGGAGTTCATTCCTTCTGCTTATTCACCAGGTACATTTTCTAATCATTTTTGCTATAAACAGAGATGTGAAGACTATGAATTCCTCCTACTTATTCTTCTACGAGTTTTTAAAAGCTCATTTTAATGTGTGCTGTTCTCCACAAAAACAGAAGTCTAGAACAAGGAGAATGAACTGTCAATGCTCCCTCGAGGTGGCTGGTCTCAATCAGCAGTTGAGTTCACTTGCTTTGCTTTCCATTATGTCTTCTCTATTTCAGAGCCCCTTTCAGGCAACAAACTGATTCTGCTGTAGAGAAAAATACAGAGGGCATCTCTACTAGCACCCCCCTAGGTGTAATCACAAATCGTGCTATACTCGGCTCTGCTAATGGTATTGCGAATGCCGGTGCTGCCTCAACTACAGGAAAGGACTTCTCAGCTGAGGAAGCCAGGGAGCGCAGAAGGTTAGTGAGCAGAGTGCTGCTGTGTGTTGGTCCTCCTCTATCATCAGGTTCACGTGGTGGTGATGGTGGGGATGTAAGAACGGTTTCTTAGGTGCTATGGAGTTACGGGCTGCTGCCCCTGCTCCATCTTGAGGTTTTGAACTGCGTCATCACTCGATTGTACGTTAAATTGAGTTTCATAATTTTCTACTTGTCTTTTCAGTGTCTCAGCCTTTTTCTTCAGTAGTTATCTCAGCTACTAATCTCAGTCCCTAAGGCCTCTATATGTAGAGGGACAGACAGCCCTGTAGCTGCTTGCAGTAGGTTCTGTAATATGAATCCCATCCGAAAATGTGTTGGACTGAGACACATTGAGATAAAATCCATCCTTCTGATTCTGCTCAGCTAAGTTTACATATGCCCCGATGGAGACATCTTTGCTGCACAGGTCCCCTGAATTCGCTCTGTAGCTAGTGGGAGAAAACAAACGTTCCTGGAGTGTGTAGATGGGTGATACAGGAGGAGATGGACTGCACTCTAGCAGCATGCATTTCTTTCGATTGACTATAAAAGAAGACTTAGCACAGAGGTAGAAGTCTACCATGTGCAACCAAAGCTATTCCAGCAGTAGCAGCATTTTGAATTACTCTGAGTCTAGGTGGTGGTATCTCTTTCTTATCGTATGATGTTATTTTAAGACTGGGGAAATAGAAACCTGGGGTAGCCAGTGCTCTTTTCAAAGGAAATTTACGTTGTGCATTTAAGTACAGAATATCAAATGATCCATATTTATTCCTGCAAACAGGTTAACTTTTGCAAAATCTGTCTCTTCTGATGAAAGTAAATGGTAATAAATAAAATGCAGCAATGAACTGTGTATTTCTAACTAGCAACCAGTTCACGGAGTGTTTTCAGTAATTAGATTCTTCCCAACTAAAATAATAACTTAGAACACAGACCTTCCTGAGTGGAGATAGTGCTCTGAGATATTTTAAATGGCCTGAAGCCAAAGGATGTGAAAAGCAATAATGAAAATGATCAGCTTGCAAAGATAAAGATGGTAGAGCTCAGCAGTGCCATGTAATCTGCAGTCAGCCACGTGACCTCTCCCATGGAGGGAGGGCATGCTTGCTGCCAGCTTCTCTTTGCTTCAGCTGCAGCAGATCCAAGAAAGAAGGTGGTCTGTGCTATTTGGAAAATACTCAAACTTTTAATGCTGTTTGAGCTTTTTTTCTTTTTTTCCAGAGCTAGCACAGGGAGTGCTTTGAAAGTATTGCAAGCATTCTGGATGAGCCACATTTATCAACTGTATGCAGGGACATAATTTGAAATAGCTACTGCAGAGTATCTTTGTCTATAAGAACACTTAGGTTTAATATTAGGAGTGCCTCTGTATGCTTGTCATTTTGCTAGGGGTCAGTTGGCTTGGTGTCATTTGCAATTGAATTGAGATGAGCTGCCAAAAGATACTCCCAGTGCCAAGTAAGATTGTGCAAAAGAGGACAGAGTGAGTATTGTGCTTTAAGTTCACACTTCAGACCATTTCACAACAGTATCTCCATTTTGGCAAGCGCAGAATCAAGTTGCAGAAGCTTTAGATTTTTCCGTGGAGAAGTGGGCTCCACAAAACCTCCCAGACTTTTGGCACTGTCTGCAGACAGGGAACTTGACTGTGATAGTACTTGTAGATTCCCAAAAGAGCATCTATTAATATTACTGCATTGGCATTTATTGCCGAATCAGTTTCTGTAAATAATACAGAAGATCTGTTTAAGTCTTCTGCATTTTTATTAGAGAACTATTCCTATGAATTATGGTAATGTAAAGAGAAACACCAGAAAATTCCTCCCACCTTTAATGGATGCTTTGAAACTACTGAGAGGAAAAAAAGCACAGCAATGATGCATTGTGCTTGTGGGTGGAGGAAACCTTATTTATGAATGTATGTTCTAACAGCAGGATATACTGACTGGGGAACTGCCTGCACATTTTGAACTAGGAAACATGGACCTAGGGAAACAGCAGAGGTCACCTAAATGGGAAAAGCTTATTTTGGAAGGAGACCAATTCCAGTAAAATAAAATAAAAAAGGAAAATGGCAAACAGTTGTCAGGGAAGCACTACATGGATTTCAGTTCCCACTGGCAGCTGTTGCAGTAGCATTTGGTCTGCCTCAGTGTTTCCAAAGCTCCAGCTTTCTCTTAGCAACAAAAACATAAACAAGCTTATCTAATATTAGATCACAGGGATGTCTCCTAACTTGTGGCCTTAAATTATCTGCATGAAGCCAAAAGGTTAAAGCAGAAGAGACTGCTAGGTCTGGGGAGGAACGACTAGCAAAGTGCTCTGGAGTGCTGTTTTGCATCCTTTGGTGGCCAGCAAGCCTTACCCTGGCCCACCGTAGCGTTTCATCCGTGGTGTTTTACCTGCTGCTTGTCTGCTGGCTAAATTGGTCAGCGAACGCTCCAGTAGCTGGAAAATAGCATGAATCATGCCTCACGTCGTTACAAAGGGGACGAAAGAAAAAACAGAAAAGAAGGCAGCACAGGAGAAATCAGTTTGGAGAAATGCAATGCAGTCTGTCTACCTGGATGGACCTTGGCAAATCGCTGCCTGCTGTTAGAGCCATATGTCTTGGACGTTCAGCCAAGCTGCTGCCGTGCATATTTACATGTACCCAGCTGCATGTTCAGCCTCCCTTAATTCCGCTGCAGCACTGCGGTGTGCTGATGCTGAGAGGCTGGAAACATGCCATCTTCCTGAGTCAACATTTTTGCCAGGCAGTTTCTTTTTCATGGGAATTTTGGAGCCACTGATGAACATTGCTGTTTGGCCATTTTGATGATCTCCTATCAGCGTCAAATTGTCTCACATTGCAAATGCATTTGTCCAGCTGAAGTCAAAACAGCACTGGCTCTGCTAAGGGTGAATTACAAGCGCATGGATGCTGTGCCTACAGCATCTCCCGTAGACCCTGTTCTTCCTGGTGCAGAACTAACATCTGCTTGGTGCAAGCAGGTGGTGGGGACTCGGGGGGTCCTGTTGTTTGCAGCCCATTGCTGGATTATCCCCCTTCATCTGGGATGACAGCGGCCTCTAGTGCCGCCGAAAGCTCCTTTGCAAAGTTCATCTGCGACCTTGTCCGTGTAGTTTCAGTGCAGGGCTCTGTGGCCACATCTTCTCCCGGCAGTCCTGTGCTGCAGCCCCTCTCAAGAGGGTCCCCTGTGTCGCAGGCTCCCTGCGTGCTGGAGGCTGCTTGGAGCTGTGTCCCCTGTGCATGGAGGGGAGTCTGCAGGAGATCTTGCCAAGCTGCAACATGACTTGTGCTGAAAGGAAGGTCTGGGTCTCGCTGAAGCCTTTCACATTATATGAAAGCTTTGGGTCCCAGGACAGATTAAAAGGCTACCATGCAGCCACGGCTCGTGGTTAGCTGTCATGCGGGGTAAGACAAGCTTTGCCCGAGAACTTCTACAAGGCAGATCCCAAGTCTGTGTTCTCAGTTGTGTGACCAGTTTAAAAGGACACACCTGAATTTGAAATCTGGCCTGGTTTTGTAAGAATTAGGATTTTAATTTGTCCTTCCTCTCCCCGCCCCCCC